CACCTTTACTGCGCGGGCAGGCTCTATTCTTGGTTTTACTGAGTCAATATCCCGGGGTCATATTTGTCTTTCTTTTTACTTCTGTCAAGAGGATGACATGTCTATTAAAAAGCCGCTCTGGGTTTTCCGAACAGCTCCGATCAATTAAACGCGGCGATGCGAACACCAGGAAGCAGCAGCAAACAGTGGGCTCAATGATCAATGTGCAAGAACTCGGACGCATTCTAATCACACGGAAAAGCGTGAGGCTAGCTCAGCATCGACCCTCTTCACAGTTTAAAAAGACAGAAATGACACCGTTTTCCAAGCAAGAATGTCCCTAGTCAGAAATGTGAACAGCGCAGGTGCTGTTACAGCTGGAAACGCATTGAAAGTATTTGGGCGAAAGAGCAAACAAATGTAACGTGTCGACAAGCGCTGCGAGCCATCGGGTACACCTGGCTTCTGGAGTTACTGGCGCTGCGCCTCGGGAATCCCCTCTATGAGGAAGCACACCGCCAGACACGCCAGACACGTTCTCCCGGTCACAGCAGAGCTGCCCGGCCAGAAGCCTTTCAAGAAAGGGCTACTTTAGCCAAAGAGGTGCGGGAGGGTGGCACAAGCTTCCCAGCCCGATACCCTGGCTTCTGTCAAGCCGGATGGGCCGATATCTTTACAGCGTCTCCCGCATGTTCCCGATCTGATACTGGAGATTCACAGAAGTGAAACTCGGAGATCGGCTCCATTAGACGCAATAAAAATAAATAAATGCACTTGCATTGTGGGGCGGGGTTGTGAGTCAATTCCAGTTTTACATTGCTTAACAGTTAGCAGTAGAGTGTGTATGTCGCTTATGTTGGGTTTTTTTTTATCGGGATGGTCTGTGTGCTGCTAATTTAATCACCAGAGTGACGGAGGGTCTGTAGAGTATTGAAACCAAGTACGAAACCAACTTATTTCGAAAGGAGTAGCGACGACGACGACCAACACCTGGGTGTGTGATCCGCCGGGCCAGCCGGGGAGCAGGGGGCCGTGACGCCGGGTAGTGAGAGGGTCCCGGCACACACAGCGGAGCCCCGAGCGTTTCCAGGCGCTGCTGGCCGACTCCGAGTTTGGAGACGCGCCAGTGGGACTCCGCTGACATCGGGTAACTGCTGCCCCGACAGGCAATACTCCGCCACACGTATCCGCGACGCCTGCCCCTTTTTCCGCCTGACTCTAAATGGGTGAGCGGGGCGCAATAACATCATGAGATCTACTCACGGCGCTCGGGAACGGCCCGGCGAGGTGGCTCCGGCGATGGCTGGCGTGCAAACTTGTGCAGCCAGTTCGGGTGCCGATCGCGTCCGTCTCCTCCCCCTCCTCTCGCATCCGGCTCGCAGCCGTGGGAGGCGCTGGGCTCGTAAACACCGCCCTGTGTTGCACTCCCGAGCCCCCTCGGACGATAAGCGCTTCCCGACCGGTAGCCTCCTGCAAACGCAGACCGAGTGCGGGGCGGCTCCCTGTCCTGCCCTGCGGTCCCCTCCCCTCCGGCCGAGCGGCGCGCGCAGACGGCAGGACGCGTGCGCGGGAGCGTGCCCGG